GATTCATGTAAAATTTTGCTTCCACTTCACAATTGTATACCACTTTGTGTTGGTCTTTCACATTAAATTCCAGTGAAATATTTTTATGTTTGTGGTTGTAATGTGACAAAATATGGAAAAGTTCAAGGGGTATGAATACTTTTGCAAACCACTGTAGTTGTGTTAATTAATAGGTGTTGCACAGATTGATCATATTTACCTGTCTAAATTAATTATCCCACATGTCTCCTTTTGATAATAATGTCTCATTAATGTATATTTTACTACATAAACACACACAGATGCTCACACATCTCCGCCCCCAAACCAAACAAATCATTAAAGAGAACTCTCCTTCCCTCCTCCATGTGTCATCTGAGCTGAACACAACATCATTCATGTTTTTGACTTGAGTCGTCAGTCAGCTGCCAGCTTTACTGTGTGCTGCTCTGTTCCAAACTGAAGCCATGGATCAGCCGTCATGCTGAGGAAACACAAAGACACACACACACAAACACACACTCATGGACCTGCACGGCTGGAGATTCAAGGCTGTAGTCATGCTGGGAAAAACAAATGCAGACATCAGATTATGACTGCTTTATATCACTTTAGAGCATCATCACAAGGATGGACATGCAGCCATCACAGCTTCCTTTTTTTTAATTATTGTGTCAATTGTGATGTGTGGTGTTGCCAGGTGGAGTCAGGACCGGACAAATTCAGACTGATTACCACTTGTCCTCTGAGCACCTGCTTACACAAGAGTGCGCTCACTAACATGGAGCGGTGAATTCCCAGTCTCGTGTTGGAGCTGCGTTACGAATGCATATGTAGTGTTTAGAGAGGCGCGGAGCTCCTTTCATATGGTGATGTAGCCGACGATTCAAGGCTTGGACCCAAGACTTGCAACCCCCCGTCTCYTCATCCCTCCTCTGATAAAATATTCCTTCCTGTGTGCTGTCTGCATGCATTTTATAAAAGCCTCAGCATTATGCAGACTAACTTCTATAAATAGTAAAGACAGCGCCGTCGTCCCCGTTGTTAGTCTTTGTTAGTTGGCAAGATCGTAAATTAATGATCCAGGGAGAGCGGAGAAAAACAGTGAGATAAAAAAATGTAAATGCAAACAGAATGAAAGGAGGTCTCATGTAGAGGAGCCATAAGTTTCTCTAGTCTGCTGGTAGATAAATGTGATAGAGATGGGTATCAGTGAGGCCTTATTGTTTGGCTGCCATGGGAGATGACTTATTGTGTCATATGCCACTGTGTGTGTGTGTTCGTGTGATTAAATGCATGCTCCAGACTCTATTCTGATTGTCAGTCTATAATGTGCTCACCTTTGTCTGAGGTAGCAGAGGAGAGGAAACAGGAGGAGTGCTGTTAGAGCAGCAGGAGTTGCAGCGGAAGCAGGAGGCTCTGATCAAACGTTAGTCAGAGATTTGTGTGTCTGTCTAAAAAGAGAGGAGGAGAAGGAGGAAAATCTGTTATTTAGCAGGTGCAGTCTGACCTGCCACATTCTACCTTCCCCCTTTTTGCATCATTTCAATTTTTCACTCTTATTCCGTCTCTTCATTTGGCAAAAAAAAAAAAAAAAAAGACAAGAAAGCTTGTTTTCTCCGAAGTCAGGCTGAACACAGACACGAGATGAAACACTTTTCTTTGGCACCGTTTCCTTTTATGTACACTTACAATGTGTGATTGGTTTCCTGTTTGTAGTTTCCTCCGTATGTTTTTTTTTTTTTTTTTGGCAAACTATGTCTGGGTACTTTGTTATTTTAACTACCAAAACATTCAACTTTAGAAATAGTTTACAATCACTTCTATTTGATTTATTTACAAAAAAGAAACAAAAAATCCCCATTACAAATACATTCAGTTACCACCCCAAAAATGTTGCTCTCCATCTGCTTCAGCACACTTGCTCTATTTTTGCTTTATTAAGATCCTATTAGATTTAGCTAATTTTAGCTTTTAGCTACTGTTTTGTTTAATGGCTRTGATTCTGCTCCATCAGGTCTGCAACAACTATTTAGCTATTTTTGACTTTTTGCTACTATTTTGCTAATTTTGCTTGTGTTTTAACCTCAGCTTTTAGCTATGATTTTGCYAACTTTATGTTCTTACTACAGTTTTGTTAACTTAAGCTATTTGCTAATCTTTTCTTTTAGTTACTCCATTGCTGATTTTAGTCTCTGCTCTGATTTTTGCACATCAACAGTTTTCTTATTGGACAAATTTAGGCAAACTCGTTCAGCATTTTCCTACATAGTTTAATTTTATGTGAATCTCATTGTTTGCATTTCCACAAACAGTTTAGTGTTTTCTCCAGGACACAGACACAAGAGCTGAATGCATGCATAATGCTTTTTTAAAGCCACTGAGCCCATGTGGTGTATAGTTGTAACAGTGAATACATGCATATATTTGTCCTTCAACTTTCACCTTTCCCCTCTCACTAAAGAACACACGTACACAAACATATGTGCACACAGACACACACACATACACACACACAACCTGGTTTAAAGATCAGTCATTGATCTTCTTTTTCCTCCCCTGGCTGGGCAATTATCTTCCTAATTATTCACAATCCATCTTCCGCTCAGTGTAGGCCATCAAACGAGAAGCCCGCCCAGTCTGTGAGTGTGTGTTTGAGMTCAGACGGGTCTCAGGATGAGACAGAAATTGTGATCCTAATTGCTGAAAAACGACAGGGAGTGCGCTTTGGAGCCGCGCTGGAAACAGCAACCTGCAGTGTAAAATCAAGTATCACTGTGAGCAGGGCATTTCTGCTCAACGTACACGTACACACACACACACACACACACACACACACACACACA